TATAACTCATAACGTAGTGGGACCCAGCATGTTTACTCACCGTGTTCTTGCTTGAACAAAATGCTGTACTGAAATCAAAACACAAATTTAGAGTTACTCTAGTTGCGGAGAAAAACAACAAGAAAACATCAAAGTATGAGGCTGGTTGTATTTACTGCTTACTTGAGTGCTCATTGTTTTGGTCCTGGATATCCAGTTACACTCACTTCAACCTAAGATTAAATAAGAGTCAGTGGCAGCAACCCAAAATAACTTCTGAAATAATGGACTCTGGCAATGAATTTAACCTCCAACGCACACACTGGACGCCGGGATAGTCGAAAATTAAAGTCCTACTACTTTAACCCAACTCTGAAGACCCAGAAAAACGAACTTAGTGAGGAAAAACTGGTGCTAACGCCTGTTAGCTCTGTCTACCAGCGGTTACTGTATCACTGCGGCTTAACGATGCGATGAAATGCAGCTTCCTGTCAGCTACAGCTGAGTAAACTGAGCTAAATGTGCTAATTGTGTGAACCTGCTAACTGCGGCAATATAAGCGATAATACGTACCTCAGAAATCCCTTATACAATGTTTTATTAAATTTTAGAGGCTAGGAGAGCTACATGTGAGACGCCATAATAACATTTGATGTAACTTCCGCTTTCAGCCGACTTCTTCTTCTGCATCATTTCCCCCCCCCCTAACTTTTTTCTACCTTAAGAGCTCGCTATCGCCGCTAGCGGAGAAGAAGTTCATACAATTAAAAAACTGTGGGTATTATTTTCATATTGAATACGAATTTCAACGCAAAGGAGATTTATATTTTAAAATTTGCACAATAATAGGTCATTTGTGGTCATAGGATAACATTTTTTCAGTCAGACAGAAAAATTGATACTCTAAATCTGATTTGTGACTTTGTATCCAGTTTTTCATTTCCTGGTAAAAACTGAAATTAAAGTTAATTTAAATAGTGTTTGCAGTAAAACAAACAAAAACAAAAAAACCCTTAAGAGTGGTGAGACCTGCTTACAATAATGTGGCTTTGCATGTAAGTTGTAGAAGATGTCAGATTTGCATTGGGATCGCAAGGACGATATTAGAAATGAGCACATCAAATAGTTCAGGTTGGAGACAAAATTAGAGAGGCAAAGCTCAGATAATTTGGAAATGTGCAGACAAAGGAAAGTGGATATATTCGGCAAAGGATGTTTTTTTCTTGAATAAACTCAGACTGTACCTATAGGATGTAGCAGCTCTGATATCAAGTCCTTTTTTGAATTCTTTACTTGAGCATTTTAGCAATTGCCATATTAGTCCTGATTTATCTGTCTTTTTGCACACTAATGGGGACCATAATGGACTAAAGGAACAACATGTTTTATTCAGTAAGACTCTAATTTGGTAATGGAGCCCATTGGAAAAGCTGTTTAAGAGGTCATAGGTCACAGGAGTAGTAGGTTTGTTTCCCAGTAAACTTCTATGAACTCCTTCTGAAATCACAAGAGTCACCCCTAGTGGCTATTATAAAGGATGCAGGTTTAAAGCTCTTCTGCACTGGTTTCAGTTTTCAGACAGAGGATATTTCCATCTTTAATGTACAGTTAAGTGTGGGCTCCTATAAGGTTCATGTATGAATAAATGACAACATGGTAAAATACAAATGTAATGATATAATGTTATAACTTACTTTTAACTAATGCAGAAAAAGTAAATTAAAAATCTCTTTGCCAGTCACAGTTGCTTCATTGTTTGTTTAAAATGTTGGACATTTGTGACGATGACAACTGGAAACACAGACATAGACTTATAGGACAGTCTCTTATTGTAGGGGGGCTTCATCATACATGCAGAAGAAGGGGAAAGCAAACATCGGCAAATAGGAATCCGTGCCTCCAGTATTAAACCTGAAACACGCTGCATACAGTACAACGTGTGGACCTGGATTCTTTTCTCTCAGCCTCGACTGGAACGCACGCATGTATTTTTCTTCAGGCACTTGATGCAGCAACAATAATGATGCAGCTATTTTCAGCATAGATGAGTTTCAGGGAAGTAATAATGGCGGGTAATGAACCTGTTGTTGTGGCAATGGCTGCATGCGGCGTACTGGAAGGAGGACAGCGATGTTGTCATTATGTTTGACATGACAAAACGAAGCACTGTAAGAGCAGAGCAGCATTGAATTGAATTTACTATTAACCCTGTTTGTAGATCAGATCAAGATTTTCTTAGATGAAGACAGGAGTTTATATTTTAGTCTCGAAGAAAGAACAAACTGCTATTAATTCTTGTGGACTGAAAACTGAGAATAAAATTAGTGGCATTTACATTTAAAAAGAGATCAAGTCTGACAACAAACATCCATGAATACATCAGCAAGATGGCCCCAACCAACCGCACGCTCAGTGAATACCTCAGGCAGCAGAAACCCAAGAAAGAGGAGGAAGAGGAGGAACCATGATGGAAGGACAGGCCCCTGCACAGTATGCACCACCAGCAGATAGAGGAACTGCCTGACATCCAGAAGTCCTATTAGTGGCTAACAAAGCTGGACTGAAAGACAGTGCAGAGGCACTAATCATGGCAGCACAGAAACAAAATGGGAGACGCCTCCTAGGGTAGTCGAGAATGACTGAGCGAAGATCCTGTGGGACTTCCAGATACAGACGAACAAAATGGTGATGGCTAACCAACCAGACATAGTAGTGGTAGACAAACAGAAGAAGACAGCCATAATGATAGACGTAGCAATACCGAATGACAGCAACATCAGCAAGAAGAGAAGCTGGAGAAATACCAAGGGCTCAGAGAAGAACTCGAGAAGATGTGGAGAGTGAAGGTAACGGTGGTCCCAGTGGTAACCGGAGCACTAGATGTGGTGACACCCAAATAGGCGAGTGGTTCCAGCAGATCCCAGGAACAACATCTGAGATCTCTGTCTACAAGAGTGCAGTCCCAGGAACAGCTAAGATACTGCACAGGACCCTCAAGCTCAGGTCCTCTACCGGAAGCCTGGGAACCTGAGGGATAGACCACCTGCAGGGGCTAGAGTGGATTTTTTTGTATATGTATATATAGATTATATATCCTGGAGGGGTCGTGTAAAACTGTTTTATCAGAGTATCTGCATCTTACCAGGACACATTTAGAGACCACCAAGTCCCAAACAAGAGGGTTAGAGGGACTGTGGTGCCACAGGTTGCTGGTTTATGAATTGGACAGCTATGGCTGACGTCTTGTCTGGACTGCACTTTGTTATGAAGCGCCTTGAGGCGACTTTTGTTGTGATTTGGCGCTATATAAATAAAATTGAATTGAATTGAATTGAATTATCATTAACTTTTTTTTTAAATTCCTGCTTTCGTCCTTTGGTAAGGTTTAGGGACTAAACACTGCTTAGCAGTTTGTAGGGACATGATAAGGCTGTGCTGCGTCAGAGGACCTTTTCCAGGGTAAATAACAATAACATGCATCCACCACATGAGTGCTGGTTTGTAAATGGCACAAATACGTGACTTCCAGCAAGTCGACAGAGGTGTGCATGGGACCGCTGTATCTTTCACATTAACTTTTTACTTTTGCTCTTTGGTTAGGTTTAGACAACAAAACTAATTGGTACATGATCTCATGCTGTCCCTTTCAGACACTGAGGGGTCTATGAAAGGACCACTCGTGACTCAGCTGATCATTAACACAAATATGTAATCAGCCAATCACATGAGAGCAACTGAGTGCATTTAGGTGTGTTGGCATGGTCAAGACGACCTGCTGAAGTTCAAACTGAGCATCAGAATGGGAAGAAAGAAGATTTAGGTGACTTGAAATATGGCATGGCTGTTGGTGATATATGGACAGGTCTGAGTTTTGCAAAACCTCCAATCGACTGGTGTTTTCCCACATAAGCACCTCTAGAAAAGGATCTGGAACAGGGAAATATCCAGTGAGCAATGTGTCAGTTGCATCGGAGAAAATGCTTCGTTGATGTCAGAGGTATAAGGAGAATAGCAAGACACCTTTGAGTCTTTCTCAACAATCACTTGTTAACAGCAAAGTATTTTTACAGTCAGAATATTTTTATCCACTAGCAACAATTTATATGGGCTCACCAAAAATGCCCAGCAGACGATTGGAGAAATGTTGAGAGTGGATGTCTGCTGAATTTTTCTTGGTTCCTTGTTGAACCTGTGCCATGGAAGAATTTAACGTTTTAAAGGCAATCACAAGGTGTTACTAATGAAGTGGCGGGTCGGTATACATACATGCATGAAAATGGGACACAGTCACATCCTGACCAAAATTTTGTATATGATTGGCTGAGAGAGAGAGACTTGCATTTATGCGGGCAGCATTTGCCTGGGAAGCATATTACAGCCTTTTTGCCTTTCATGATCCAGCACTCTCTCCGCACCCTGACAATTTCCACTCACTCCCTCATGTTATTTAGTTTATATCATTAGCATGAGTGAGACACACAGACATCTGTTTTCATCAACTTTCACTTTTAGGAAATTCTGGGGTTGTTCTACTTCCTCATGTAAGCAGATTTCTCACAGCAACACATTTCTGACTGGAAAAGGCAAAAGTTCACAAGCTAATACATAATTAATGCAACACAATAGAATGCATAATAAATACATTGTTTGTTAAAGCCTGCGAGGGGATTACACAAGAACTATCTGAAGCAATAAGGAAAATCTTTGATCTGGGTTTGTGGTTCACGATGTGTTTTAAGCTCATTCGGTTTAACCTAATATCTCACAGGATCTGTAGAAGTGCACAAAAATCTGTAAAACCTGTGACCTGATATATTTTCTGCCTTTGGATCCAGCTTGTCAATTACTATGAAAGCAAACTTTCACACTATGGCTACTCCTAAAGCAGCTGTTGACAAGCTGCTGGTCTATAAATACTCTTTAAAAAAATGAATTTAGTCTTCCTGATCCCCAGAGAGAGCAGACGTGTCAGTCTTGTTCTCCTGTATTAATGGGACAGAGCGTCCGGGCGGTGGGTGGAGGGGGGGAGGGACCTGCACTGCCTCTCATTAAAGACAGTTGCTAAAAAGGAGCTGAAGACATCCAGCATCCAGCACACCGAGACGCACGGATGAAAAAAGCGGCAGGAGTGTGTGTGTGTATGTGTGTGTGAGTGAGCGTCTGTCTGTGTGAATAAAGAAACAGAAACAATTGGGTGTTAACAGTGTGAGCGGGAGGCTGAGCCCAGAGCAGAGGACACGGGAGCGCAGCGAAAGAGGAGGGTGAGAAAGAGTCAAAGAGAGACAGAGGAGAGATCATCAGAGCGTGGAACAGGTTCTTTCTGGAGCCCTCTCACTCAGCCTCAGCAGACATGCCTAACTTTGCTGGCACCTGGAAGATGAAGAAGAGCGAGAATTTTGATGAACTTCTCAAAGCTCTAGGTAAGCCCTCTCTATCCTTCCCTCAGTCTCCTCCACAGCCAGAGCCACATCTCTGTGCAAGGCTGACTATCCATCATGCCCATATAGGAAATGGGCTTTTCTTGTTCTTTGGGAATGGCATTCCTGACTTCCGACAACATCATATTGTTCGGAGAAGCTCCCTGGGAACAGGAGGCAGAGAACGGAGAGATGCTGCCGCAGGGAAAACCCTTGGCTTTAAGGGAGATAAGAAACAGTGGATGCTAAATTCCACCCTAAACAGACGTTGTATTGTTACATGGGGAGGAAAACGGGGGGTGCACAACATTATTCATGTTAAGCATTTAAGTAGGGCATGCATTAATGCCAGGGGAGGTCTCTGGAGCCCAGTGTTTTCTCTCGCCTCTGTTCTTTTTTCTTTGTTTTTTCACTCTTCTTAATCTTAACTGATGGTTGTGATGGTTTAGGTTCAGACCAGTTTAACTGGGTCATTCAATTGTGTTGCAGTGTTTAGTCATGCTGGCAGCGCCGAGGCAGGCAGAGCACGGCAAAGGGCCGCCTGTCTTTAGAATAATGCAGAACCCTTCAGGGAGAAGTTCCACTGTGAGAGGTTCCAGGAACTCTCCCGAACTGCTGACACCAAAGACTGGATTAAGATTCAAAATGTTAATGGACACTTCAGGTTTTAGCATAAAAAAAATCATCCAGGTCTAATCTATGTCATTTAATATCAATATGGATGCTGGTCGTATCTACTGTATCTGGTCTCCTGACATGTTTGAAAAATGTCTTCTGGTTTGAACCTATAGCCTTAGTTGGAGATCACCGAGGCAAAGACTGAAACAATGCTGGTTTCAGTTTTTATGGATAAATAAATTAACATCACACTTCTTTCATTTCCAGCCTCTATTTATATGGAGTCATTAAGGAGTTTGGAAAGTTCACTAAAGCACCTCTCCAGCAACCCCTCCCCATTTTGCGTTTGACATTCACCAGGCAGCAGCTGATCTGGCCTTAACTCTAATGGGGAAATCAGTCACTCTGCTAGTTTAGCACCTCATCCATTCAGGAACACATTAACATCTGCCACATCAGATCACCCAGTAGCTCTTACATAAGGACCCCATCAATGAGAATGAGAGAGGGCAGTGATGGGCAACTGACGTGGATGCCAGTGCTGCGGCCTCCACTTTCCATCAACATCTTTATAATTATTTATTGGCTCAGAGGTTTCCCCTGAAGAAAGAGGGGACAATATGCAGAACGAAAAGACCTGATGTGTGCAAACCTGCATCCAAAGCATGTTGTAAATACTCAATAGAAACTTTAGTCAAGTTGTTAGCACCGTTAGAACCGTTTATAGACCTTGAGACATGCATGCAAATTAAATTCAAAGGAAATGCAGCCTTTTTAGACATGAGGGCAGCCTGCTGGTCGCACTGATCCTCATGCATATTTAATGCTAAAAAAACCCCCAAACCACTCTGTGATCTCCTTAGACCATGGGTGGGGTCAAGTAAACTGTCAAATGTGTTTTGAATCCTGACTGTTAACACAGCGGTTTGGGGATAGAATGATCTGAGCTAATTAGGGATTGGGAAATGAAACACTTGATGTTGTTTGCAAGCTTATAAACTGTCTATGGATGGAACTGTAAGTCGGCTGTTGGTAGGAGAAGGGCACTGAGACATAAAAGAGCCAGGGTTTTGGCAGGACGCAAGGCCAGATGGTCTTGCGGACTCAAACCGGGCATGCCAAACACTTGTCACACGCCTGCATGGAGCCACGTGCAGGATCACCACTTTTGCACCCGTCAAACAAAAGGAGAAAGTCAACGCTGACCTGACCTGACATCTTCAACAGTTTGTTTCCTTTCCTTGCAGACATGGCTGAATAATCCCTCACAGTGAGTTTAGTGCAGTTTAGTGAAATAGTTGTGGGCTCTGCCCGAGCCACAGAGCATTTATTGTGTTTTCACTCACAAATGCGTCGCTGTCATTCTTGGTTAATATTCAAACATGTTTGGATGCAAACACAAACCAATACAAGGAAACCTGCAGTCAGCTTGTCTCACTATATTTAAGGTCCTGAGCTGATAGAAACTGGCATGCAAGCCCAGAGAAGACTATCTGGGTGGGGCTGAGGGTATATCGATGGCTGGTTTCCTACATCTTGTTACTGTACAGAATAAACAGCATTTCCCACTTTTTCTCATAATGTGTCAAAATTTCAAAAAAAAAAAAGAAACACTGTATCTTTACTAAAACAGACTAAAAAGACTTGTTTTTGGAAATCTCTATTTGACTTCTTTTCAAGTACAAGTCAAAACCCCAACATTTAAATGTCCTCCTTTGAGCAAGCACTTGGCGACGGTGGGAAGGAAAAACTCCAGCAGAACCAGGTTCAGGAAGGAGGGGGCATCTGCCATGACTGGTTGGGGGAGGGAGACAGGACAAAAGACACAATGATTAAGAGAGCTAGAGATGAATAATAACTAATAGTTAAATGCAGAGTGGTGTATAAACACAGAGTGAAAAGAGCTGAAGAAGAAACACTTGGTGCATCACGGGAAGCCCCCAGACCCCAGAGGCCTATTGCAGCAAAACTAGGGGAGGATTCAGGTTCACCTGATCCATCTCTCACTATAAGCTTTATCAAAAAGGAAAGTTTTAAGTCTAATGTGAAAAGTAAAGAGAAAGTCTGTCTCCTGAATCCAAACTGGGAGCAGGTTCCACAGAAGAGCGGCTGAAAACTAAAAGGCTCTTCCTCCCACTCTACTTTTGAATATCAGAGGAACCACAAGTAATCACACTGGCAGGCGTGTGGGGTGGCTCATTCCTTGGAAACGAAGACCATGCAAGACCATTTCTGACATCCATATTTCTGCCCTTGCTGGCTGCTGACCAGCTTATTTAGGAGCTGACTGATGGTCAGTCTCATGCGCCGAGTCAGACTCTGAATTGAAGATGCTGGTGTAGCTGATCTGGTTGAGCAGGTGACCCAAGTATTAAAGGCTGAGGTCCTTGCTTGTGGGATCTAGGCTCGAGTCTGATCCAAACCATTTCCTGCGTGTCCCTCACTCTCTCCCCTCTTTCCTGCCAACTGTCTGCCTTGCACTATCCAGTAAAGCCAAAAGGTCTCACAATCTGAAAACTCTTTCAAATCCTTCTCTCTTCTAAAATCTGAGCAGAGAGAATTTTTGCCATCTTGATCATGTGAGTGGAACCTTGTGAAGTCACTTAACTTGTTTTAATTTTTGCTTTTAATGGAAAACAAGCCAAAGCCAAAGAGCCCAACATTGAAATATTAATAAAACAAAAGAAATTTGGTTTTGGTGAACACCAAAAATGGGTCCCAGAGACAACAAGAGCAAACATAAGGGATAATATTGTGACTCCAAGCACATACCACTGAGTCTGGGTAGAAAAGCCACACCCAACCATTATTCAAACCTTCTGTTTGTGAAGGGCAACCAGTCAGAAGAAAGATTGCATAAGGGGAGAGGAAGTAAAAGGTTTTTTAGACAGTGGAGAGTTTGAACAACTTTAAAACATCATAAAGGATATTTTGAAACTATAAATTAGTGAAACCCAGCTACAATCGTGAGACTGACCTTTGTTTCTCCCTCTTGTTGACCTGGTTCGGGTCGTGTCCATCCAGGAGTGAACGCCATGCTGAGGAAGGTGGCCGTGGCAGCGGCCTCCAACCCTCATGTGGAGATCCGTCAGGACGGGGAGCAGTTCTACATCAAAACCTCCACCAGTGTGCGCACCACTGAAATCAACTTCCACATCGGTGAAGAGTTTGACGAGGAGACGGTGGATGGACGGAAATGCAAGGTAAATTTGGTGAGAAGTAAAAAAAAATCAAGTGGTAACCTTAAGTTAAACGTGGTCCAGAATAAAGGCTAAAACTAACTAAGTCTATTTTTTTTGGCTTAGTTTGGTTTAGTTTAAAGGTATGTTTTAGGCCGTTCTAGCACGCTCAATTTTGTCTCAGGTTCTTGAAAATGTTAAGTTTGCATATTATTTGGCAAATTAAAAACAGAAAATAATGGGACGGTCTGGAATAGGAGCACCACTGTCAAAAGGATTTTATTTTCATTTATTGTCAAAATAAATAAAAAATCAGCAGAACTGGCTCTTTGAAAACAGTCCAGTTACTTAAAAAGAAAAATCCACAAACCAATCACTTAATGCAGAACTTATTTTCTTTCTGCTTTCTAAAACCACCTATGTCGGTGGTTTTAGAGACACAAAGGTGTCATAAATATTTATACCCTGTCACTAGCACAGCCCCTTGAGGTCCGCATGTCCTTCTGTAAAGTGGTACAAGAGGCAGGTGTAGCTCTGTAGAGAGAAAGAGATTTCAAAACAAGATGTGTGGATTTTACTGAGCAATCGAGTCATAATTTCTGGATGGAAAAAAAAGACACGGCTGTTGAGATTTTTCAATTATATTTGTGGTGCTTATGAGAACCACATTGCTTTACTCCCCTTCGCTTTCCCTTTTCCCCACCCTCATTTAAATGTTAAACTCTATCTTTTTCTGTTTTTTTCAAACACAATAATTTTTGTGCTGTTTTTCTGCGAAGCAAATAAGATGCGAAGCAGATGGTTTATGTTACAGTCACCCATGTGTTAGGAGAAGCTTGATTAATGGTGTGACTGTGGGACCACAAACCCACTGTGGGGACTCGCCTCCCATGTGCTGCAACAGAAGTCCCCTGAAGGTGGACATAGAAACTTTAAAAAAAATCAGAATTAGTTTAAGTGTAAGGGTTAGGATGTCGTGGGTATTGCCTCTGAACTGCTGACAAAGTGCCTTAGAGTTCATTAAAGTTGGCTTAAGCATTTTATACAGATCATTGCAGCTGTTTGAAAAAAGAAAAAAATCATGCACTAATGTGAGGTTTAAATCAGCAGGCATCCTTCAACACATTAATTTCATGAAAAGATGTGACATATAAGCACAATGTTGTAATCTTTGGTACGTCTCAAATAGTTGTCTTTGGTCTTCTTTTCCAGCAGATATTACACGCAATCGGCTTCATGCTTTAAACTGTCTGCATTGTTTGTACTGCTGGTAATTCTTTCTGTCTTCAAGAGCTTCAAAGCTGTTTCAAAGGCCCGAATGAGAAATTAATACCTCCTCACAGTCTCATCTATTGGTATCATGCTCACGTCAGAGCAGAGAGATTAAGGGCACTGGTGAGAGTTTCTCTCTGAACCTCTGCAGTCCCCGAGGGAGGACTCTTTCATCCTCAAAAGCAGCTAAAGTTTTGACACAGACATATAAATGTATATATATATATATGTGTGTGTGTGTGTGTGTGTGTGTGTGTGTGTGTGTGTGTGTGCCCCAGGGGGAGCAGAGTGGACTAAGGATGTAATAAAATTGTTCATTTAATAACAAATCCCAGTAAAGCAACAGTCACTCAATGTGTAATTCATAATTACAACAATCTGCATATCTGAGGGGAGGAAATGTAGACATCCTGAACTAACAGCTGTACTCTGTTGCTTGTGATGATAGTGAGCTCGTCTCTTAGAGACATCTCTCGATACGATCTGAACAACAAGGCATTTACATCATCCGTAAAGTGAATATGCAGGCTGCACAATTAAATAAAGAGGAAGCGGGGATCGATTAAGCCTGATAAGGCCCATGTGAAAACTGACCTTCTTAGAGCTGAGCGCCACCTGTGTCTGCATATCAACGAATAAAATGATCTCATATGATCAGTTGCACTCCTCTAAAGTTGACCTAATAGAAAATTAATCACTTTACTTTTGTCACTTACATCATCTGCATTCAGTCATTTCCTGATATTACAGAGATAATATTTATGTACTGTAAATGGAGACGTGGACGTTTTTCTACTTTATATTTGTTACTGTAATATCATTAGTTACTTTGTTTATGTAGTTTATACATGGTGTCATATTGTTTATTGCTATAAATGTCAAATCTGTGTGAAGGAAGGAAGAAAAATGAACTTTTGGTGAAGCATATCTGCCCTTTGGTTTCACCTGCACAAGTGCCAAGGTAGGTCTCCCCTGCAGAATTGGTTTTCCCTGTGTCGGGATCAAGCACTGGGCTGTTCAAATCACGGACAAACAGTGTCCCACAGTTGTTTATGTTTTTAAACCCATTTTGCACACAGAGGCATTTTTTGAAAAATGTATTGATAGCAATGTTGAATATTATAGCACATGAAAAAAACAAACAACCATGCGTAAAATAATCACACCATGAAGCCTCTGCCTTTCTAAATGGAGGGACTGTAACTGCGTGTGTATATGTAAGCTTGTAAAACCTGAAGATAGTCAGATTAACAGTATTTTGTCTCTATCTGTCATTCTGCAATTCATCTCATGTAAACAATAACGTGGTGCACAGCGTGATGGGAAAAAAGGCACATACCTTTGACGTTGCGTGACCAACTCTGTATTCCTTGTCCACATAATGCAAAAAAGGTGTTTTAAAAAAATCTCCGTTTTCGGTGATTCGAAACGCCGTTTGTGGACGAAACAGCTGCGTTTTCAAAAATACCAGTGTAGATGTGGACACAGTGTAAAATAGTTAGTAGGGGAGACCGGGGATAGTTGTAACGTGGGTCAGTTGTAACACTTCCAATTTCTCCAATCAGGGCTAAGTTTCAAATGATGTGACTCATCCTGTGCATGCCCAATTCAGTTCTGCTATCACATGTGAAAAATCAGCACATTTTGTCAAACACAGACAATTTAACATGAAAAAAAGTGATTTGTATGCCAAAAAGTAAGTTTTTCTACTTTATTTCAATTTGTAATAGCATTATCTGCTTTGCAGTTAAACTCATCAAACTTAAATTATGTTATTTGTATGTCTATGGGAATATATTCTGTGTGGGTCTTTAGTGCTAATGTTTTAGCCGTTGGCTGTAATGTTAGCTAGTTCATGGCTATAGGAGTCTGGGTCAGTTGTAATAGTAACAGTCTGGGTTAGTTGTAACAATAATGCAGATGTTACAACTTACCACACTATTACTTTAACTTATATTAAACAAGTTGGGGCAACGACATCAGCAGAGAGAGGTTCACTGGTCACTTTTGTATATGCGGTAATGCCATTGGCAACACAATTCCTCCACTGTTTGTGTTCCCACACATACATTATGCAGACCACTGTGTCAGAGATGGACCAGTAGGAAGTACTGGTAGTGGAAATAAATCAGGATGGGGGCAAGAAACAGATTTCCTCATCTTTCTGAAGCACTTTGCAAACCACACCAAGGTAAGCCATGATAAAAAGTAATGGAATTGCGATGCTGGTGAACAACTACATTTTTTCAGCTTCATTGTTATGTTCAAAATTGGTGCAAGAGTTGTAGGTTATAATGCCCACTGAGCCAATGAGGCCAAACTCAAGGAAGACCAACCAAAATGAATGAAATATTCAGTTGCAGAAAATTCCATAATTTGTCTTTTTGGGGGGTTGGAATATGTTCAAAAGCTAGATTTCTGCATTCTGTCACACACACACACAGCTACATTAATGGCTCTAAGTGCATTCATGTGTTGAATAAACAAAGATTACATGTTAATGTTTTGTTAGTACCCTTATTTCATTGTGTTACATTTCACCCCAGGATATGTTACAACTAACCCAGACTATGGGGTTAATTGTAACATTTCACTCTTCGTGTTTGAGACCATACCATGCAATGGGTAATTGTGCTGCAGAGAAAATAGCTGCACTATTTAATAGCAGAGACATGTAAATACTTTGCATTACATTTTGAATCCACTACCTTAAAAGAGCTCCAATTTACAGACAGAAATGTCAAAAATGTTACAACTATCCCCGGTCTCCCCTAGTTTATTTTATTACTACCTGTAATTTATTGCAGATTACTTGTATTTGTTTAAGTGTTAACTAAATGTTTGAGGTGTGAAATAAACCGCAATGGAGCAAATGTAGTCGGGGTGTGTGTAGTCGGAGGATGTGTTTGTGCGTGTGCGCGCGCGCGCGCGCGAGAAGGGGGCGGGGCGAGAACATTTTTCTTGTAAAACAAAGGGGGCCTAGCAAAAAAAGTTTGGGAGCCACTGATTTAAACATCTGTCTTTCTGGGCCTATAATTGATATAAAAATTATTGTATGTAAGAGGGAAAAACATATTAATTTGGGTTGTGGTACTTAGAGGAGACATACAACTGAGCATAAAAGTTAACATGACTAAATTGAGGATTTTATTTCCACACGTGCAGATTTGCAACGAGCATTTTAAAAGCAAGATAGTCACTTTTACATTTGCCTGTGTTCAACAAGAACTTGGAGCTGCACAGCATAAATCCTGCAGCTGGGAGGGATTCTGTATCTAGCAGTAAGCTGTCACCCTGCTATAAGTGCCAGGAGAAAAGTAGCTTGGAATAAGTGAGAGCTGTGCTGCAGTATATTCACCTATGTGAATATAGAAAGTGCAGTGCAGAGAGTTACATAACAGATGTGCGAATGAGAATCTTGTCGACCTTCTCAAACCTATATGAATTTGGAGATCAGTCATATTTTTAAAATACTTTGATAAGATATTGTCAAATATTTGTCAAATATTTGAACTTTTAGCTCCTCCATTTAAGACAACTTTCCTCCGATTGGCTGCCCCTCTTAGAAGATTTAAACAACAGGTGGGTGGGGCATCTGCACCTGACATCCCTATATTGGGAATACTGCCACTAGTTAACATCATACAGAGATTAGTCTTACCCACTGGCTCACTGGGTTTACTTGTACAGTACACACATGAACCTACATGAACTCCATATATAAAACTCTGTTAATGGTAATATTAGCAACC